ACCCTCACACTGACTGTGCCATTTTCCAAGCACAACTTTACATTTCCATCATTCTCTGCTCATTTGTGATTCAGATTCTCATTTCAAAGCTTTCTTCCAGGGACTTCAGTGTTTGCTAATATCATGCTTGCCTAGTTTTAAGGGTTCTGTACATACAATTCTACAGATGCCAAACTTGCCAATGTGTACAGACTGTTGGAATAGGACAGAGGAATTATTAAGAAAATCTCTCTCCTATTCTCTCTCTCTCTCTCTCTTTTTACAAGGCATCTGTGGTCATTTACTGATTGATGAGTGTGCAGTCATTATGGGCAAAAATGAAATCTAGGTGCTGCCCAGAAATGAGTGAAAAATCTTAAATGAAGGCCCTGATGAACTCCACGGCAGAAGCACTGGGATTCTGCCAATGGAAATGAGTCCACTTAGTCTTGGAGAGAGGATTGTAATTGGGAACAATCCCTCTGACCTTTAGCCACAAAAAAGTCTCAGTTTTTTTAATAAAGATGTTGCCCATTGCTTCATCCCTATCACAAAAGTATACCTAACAAGATCTAACCAAGAACAATCTGTGAAGCTTCAGAAGGGCCTAACAATATTTCTTATAAACGCAGCCTCAAAAAAAAAATGGAGAGATTTAAGGTCACCAAGCTTGTTTCATTTGGTTAAAATTCTTTGTATACAACTTTAAATTTTTCCACTCTGTTAAAAAATTCTCTTTTCTGCTAATTATATATTTTCTCTGTTTTTATAAAGAAGCAATTGTGATATGAATGTGGTAACTTAGTTTTAGGCTTATTAACTACTATTCAAGATTGGATTATAAAAATAATCTACATGGAAGTAAACATCCCTTTGATTCTTCTATGAATTGTATTACAAGTAGTTATTATCTTAAAAAAATTCATCTAATTTTGTGTCTTGCATGATAACAGTGCATTCAGGCCAACAGATTAAAAGATACCAGAAATTATTGAAAACACAAAAGGTTTCAGATAATAATGTACAAATGAGCACATTTTTACCTCTTCTTTTTTTGTAAAGATTTCTACCAAGTTGACTACATATGAGACATGAATGAACAGTTACAAAAAGAATAAACCATGTCATCTGAATATAAATGAGGTTAATTATTTCTGGGGGCAACTGGTCTACCACTGTGTAAATTTCAGGCTCCACTCTTTTTCATAATGGAGGGTGATGAATCTGTAGAGAAGTGTTCAGAAGCATTTTACTTTTCTGGAGCTACTAAAACAATTTGATTTTTTTAAAAAAAAAATTGAAATAGTTAAATCTGCAAGCATTGCAATTTTGCCTACTCTGAATATATCATTCAATTCTCTAGGTTATAATGTCACAGTACTCCTGATTATACCAATGGGGTCACAATGACACTCTGAAATTTCAATTCTTATGTAAAATGTATTTTGGGAGGAGAATAAATAGATCACAGTCCTGTGAACTCACTTTATTTAATTCTATCCTTACTCAATCTTCTCATGCACTGAGAAAGCCTACACAATAAACAGAAAAAACCCATCTTATTTTCAAAGAACAGTAAAGATATCAAATATTGAGCTATGGTGTGATTCCGTGGTAGAATATTTGCCTAGAATGTGTGAAGCCTTGAATTTGATCTCTAGCATGGAAACAAGAGATATTAAATCTTTAAAAGTAAAATTTCTAGGGCTTGGAAGGTGGTGGTAGAGTGCTTGCCTCACATGCATGAGGCCCTGTGTTTGATTCCTTAGCACCACATAAGCAGAAGCCAGAAGTGGCTCTGTGGCTCAAGTGGTAGAGTGCTAGCCTTGAGCTGAAGAGCTGAGGGACAGTGTCTAGGCCCAGAGTTCAAGTCCCAGGACTGACAAAATAAATAAATAAATAAAATTGCTAGATGGTGAATTAGTTAATTTTCATCTTCTCTATCTACTTTACTTTTGATCTTTGTAAGTTGGTCATATATTAGGTAGCTTGTAACTCTTAATGGCCTGGGAGAAGAAAGAAGGCATGGAGATAAAATTATAGGCCTCTGACTATTGTTATTTCATTGTTTGTTATTTTGTTCCTTTTTAACAAATTCTCTTTTCTGTGTACTTCTCATTCTGAGCACTTCCCATTATGGAACCTAATCCACATGGTTCTCTTTCCCTATATAAGAGCTTTATTAAATTAGGGTCCATAAAATACTTGCAAACAAAAGTCCAGTATAGTGGTACCCAAATACAGTTACCTACAGATCTTTTAAGTTTTATTTTTACAATGAAAACAGGCCTTAACATGTTACATAGCATAGTATAGAGGTTGTCATATAGCAAGAAATATGCAATGGGTCTTAGTTGGGGTTTTTGGCACATAGATTCTAAAAGCCGTAGAACATCAGAAGTGATAAAAGTGGCCAGGCACCAGTGACTGTTGCCTGTAATCCTAGCTACTTAGGAAGCTGAGATCTGGGGATCATGGTTCATCATAAGGTCAGGAAACCCCATGAGAATCTCTCTTTTTTTGTCAGTTGTGGGACTTGAAATCAGGGCCTGGGCATTGTCCCAGAGCTTTTTTGCTCAAGGACAGTGCTCTACCATTTTGAGTCAGAACTCCACTTCAGGTTTTTGAGTAGATAATTGGAGATGAGTCCCACTGGGACATTTCTGCCTGGGCTGGCTTCAAACAGTGATCCTCAGTTCTCAGCATCTTGAGTAGCAAAGACTACAGGTGTGAGCCACCGGGCCCCCTTCCCCCACCCCTACCAAGTAGCCATGAGAATCTTACCTCCAACTAACTACCAGAAAAGCTAGAAGTGAAGCTGTGGCTCAAGTGGTAAAGAACTAGCCTTGAATAAAGAAGCTCATGGACAGTGCCCAGGTCCTGAGTTCAAGCCCCAGAACTGCCATAACTAAAATAAGTGATAAAAGTGTCTTTTGTGTGCTAATAAAATGACTGGTGGTTGGGTCCTGTAGATGCTTAATCTCTCATCCTGAAGCCTTAGGATAGGGGGTGGTCATCAAAGGAACCAACCAGAGTATATGAGGATATGTACTTTATAAAGAAAAGAACTTTACTTATCTCATAGTTCTGGTCCAAGAACATGACACTGGTATCCTGGTCTGGGACAATTTAACTATGTTGCAACATGGCAAAATAGGAAGGGAACTGCTGCATGCAGAAGAAACCACACACATGGTGGTTTTTCTTCTAACCATGCATTCTCTTGAGAATTAATTCATTCTGCTGTAACAGCAGGTGGTGACTTCATGATTTAAGTACATGCCATTAGACTTCACAATTTAAAAGTTCTACTACCTAAACACACTACAATTGAGACAAACCACTCAATGTCACAAGGCTGTAAAAAGCAAAAGGCTTATATATGCTAAAGAGAAATAAAAGTATTTAGAAGAGTATAGAGTTAATTACCAATAGCCAATTATTTAATCAATTATATATATAATAAAATATCAAACAATACAACAAAGACCTTGCACTATGCATCTTTCCTATTAACCTATCCCTGAGTTGTATATTTTATAATATACAACTGTTTTCTTGAATTCTTTGAGCCATTCTTGCAAATTATTAAACTAAAGGAAGAACTTCTGAGAGTCTCTGATTTATTTATTTTTGTAATTATTTTCTTATTATTGTTGTTAACCTCCTACTTTACCTATGTATATGTGTGCTAAATGATACGTATACAAAAAGAAAAATGATAGATAAGATTAAATAATATACCCCATAGATATATCCCCCACATATAAGAAGAGACTACTGCATATAGGATGTTGATGGCAACACTATTTTTTAAAAAGCTATACAACATTGCAAATTCACACTGTATCATTGAAAACAGCATTTCTTTGTATGTTTCATTGCCATTCCTCATGTTTTAAAGAGTATATTTGGCTATCTTGAGACATACAGTTTTGAGTGTTAGTTGACACATGAAATTCCTTGTTTGGGGTCTCTGATTTATAACTGGTTAGCATAGGAAAGCTGAAGATTTGCTGTAGCATCTGAAATGAGGCAGTCTGTGGGGCAGAACTCTAAAACATGTGAGATCTGGCACTAATTCAAACACAAGAGTGCTAGAATTGAATTGAGTTTAATTGTAGTCTACCCAATAGGTATCCTATGCACTAGTAACTGGTTAGTTTGAGGGGGAAAAAACACGGTTGGTGTCAGAGGTGCAATGATAAGAAACTGTCCATAGAAGTAGGAGAGATAATCTGTACTTTAAGATTTCTTTTTGCAAGACCCTAGACAATCACAAATTTAGGAAGATATATGTCAAAAAAATCTGGGACTAAATCTTACCCCAGCATTTTACTATGTGCTCTTATGGGTTTTTTGTTGTTGTTTTTTTGTTGGTCATGGGCTGAACTCTGGGCCTGGGTGCTGTCCCTCAGCTCTTCAGCTCAAGTCGAGCGCTCTACCACTTGAGCCACAGCGCCCCTTCTGGCGTTTTTCTGCTTATGTGGTAATGAAGAATCGAACCCAGGGCCTCATGTATGCGAGGCAAGCACTCTACCACTGAACCAACTTCCCAGCCCCTGTGTTCTTATGTTTACTGCTTTGATACTCCAAAAATGATACATGCAGATGGACCTTGCAAAGCTGCATAAAATAGAGCTAGCTGTTTATTAGTGACTTGTGGTAATAATTTTGTCATTTGTTTAGAACTGTAAATACAAAGTATTTCATTAACTCAGAATCTAGCCATCGGATAACCTAATGGTGATATTCAGCTGTGTTAAAGACACAGCCAATACTCTGAATAATCTTGAGGGGGCATGGGGCACAGCTGACTGCACCAGTTGTTTGCTGCTGCATGGGGTACCAAGTCAAGGCAGCCTAACCTCCTGCCCCAATCCAAAGACACAGCCCAAGCAGATTATCCAAGTATGAGTCCAGCTGTTTTAGAAGTAAATAATGGTTCCCAAATATTCGATCATTTTACAATTTGAAATACTAGAAGTATGTACTTTTTATATGTGTTCATCTTATAATAGACAAACTTTTTTTTGACTGTTTCATGAGTTTGCATGTCATCCTTGAGCAAGGGTCATGTTAATCTTCTCAGTATAGTTACGATTTTAGTATATGCTATCGAAATAAACACCAAAGTGTGTGTGTGTGTGTGTGTGTGTGTGTGTGTGTGTGTGTGTGTGTGTATTGGGGGGGGGGGGGGGAGCATTGGTCATGGTGCCTGAACTCTGGGCCTGGGTGCTGTCCCTCAGTCCCTCAGCTCTTCAGTTCAAGGCTAGCACTCTGCCATTTGAGCCACAGTGCCACTTCTGGTCTTTTCTGATTATGTGGTGCTGAGGAATTGAACCAAGGGCCTCATGCATGTAAGGCAAGCACTCTACCACTGAGCCAACTTCCCAGCCCTATTTTCATATGTTGAAGAGACTCTTCCTTCCTCCTCCTCCTTCTCCCCCTCCCCCTCCCCCCTCCCCCCTCCCCCTCCTCTTCCTCCTCCTCCACTATTGGGTCCTTATTGATGATCTGTAGATATAGTTATGGGGTTATTTTTAAACATAGTCCTTTCTAAGATGTACCATATTTTCCACATCTTTCTCATCTCAAGAGTTTTATGTCTCCCAGGCTTTAAAAAAATAGTGTTGGGGATAGAACCTTAGGCCTCATGTATTTATGTTTGCTAGGCATGCACACTCACTCTACCACTGAGCTGTATTTTCAACACTTTATGTTATTGTTTTCTCCATAGGCTACTTTGTTGTTGTTTTCTGGTTTAAATTATGTAAGTTGTTTGCGATGGATTTAGGGATTTGGAGATTTAGGAAAACACTGTCACCCTGTACTTGTTTTGTACTCACTCTGAGGATCCTTTCTCTGACTGCTGGCACCATGCAGATAGTTGTCACTACCTAGTCAGCAGCAGGCTTGGCTTGGTACTTGGAGATGGCGAATGATGAGAATTTCAAGTGTAATGAAAGGCAGAGGAGTCTCTGACTCTTAGTTGAAGTCTTATGCTTCTCAGCCAGTCCTTAGCCTAGGAGATTCCCTCACCCATTCTCTTCTCTTTGCTCTGGACCTTTTGTAGGTCAGATAGGTTAAGTATGATTATACCTATCAACACAAAACTTTCTCCCTTCAAGAGCCTCAGGGAATTAAACACTAAGCTGTTTCAGAGTCTTTCAAGCATCATTCTCTTGCACTGGGCTCTTTACTGTCTCTCAAAATAGTTTGTCCCCTATTTGCCCCCATGCCTTCACAGTCATCTTGTGAGTGCAGTAGCTACCAGCTAGGGAGAGAAAAGTGGCTGGAAGCTGTGGTACATGGATTAGGAGTCAAACATTATGACAATTGCAGAAATTCAGTATAGAGCATAAGCTTTATCAGTTGGGATTTTCTCTCCAGAAATATGGTTTTCCATTCTGTGTTTAACTCTTCAGTTTTATCTCTTTGGGGGCATTTACGATTTCTTCCTATAGGTCTTGAACATCTGTTGTCGATTTCCAATTTATTTATTTAGTCCTGAATATGTAAGTAAGACATTGTGAGGCATTAGCTTCTAGTGTGAGGTTGTTATGATTTTTATTTTATTTGAAAGAGATTTTCAGGGGATTTTAAAGTACATCATATATTTATTTGCAAATAAAATACATTGACAGTATGTATGCTTTTTCTTGATTGTGGTTTTAACAAATTGCCTCCATTTATTCCCCATTTGCATACAAAGCTTAGTAGATATTTATGATCTGATATGAAAGGTTTCCAACTATTTATGCTGCAATATCTTCAATATTTGTTACCTTTCCAAAATTTATATTGAAACTTAAATCCCCAACTGAACAGAATTAGGAAGTAGGTGTCAGACAAGGGTGCTACACAATTGTAATTCCAGCTGCTTAGGAAGCAGAGATCAGGAAGATTTTTGTATGAGTACAGCTGTGACAAAAAGACAGAGACTCTATTCAAAGCAACAAATCTGGTATGGTGGTTCACACCTATAATCTCAGCTAAACAGAGACATATATATTAGAGAATTATGGTCTACTCAACTCTAGACCTTTGCAAATAGGTAGGATATTAGCTGAAAATGAGCTAAAACAGAAGAGAGATGGGGTGGCTCATGTGGTTGAGCACCAGGTCCTGAGTGCAAACCCCAGTACCATAAAAAGGGAGATTTTAGGAGCTGATTAATTTCTGATTATTATTTCTGATGAATGGAATTACAAATTTTAGGTAAAGGTTGCCCTTCTCCATTTTTTTTTTTTTTTTGCTATGTGAAGACACAGTGTTTTTTCCCCTTCCTCCCCACAAGATGACACAGTAACAAGGAACCATCTTGGAAGAAGAAAGCAAGCCCTCACTAAGAGCTGCCATCTTGACATTGTACCCAGAACTGAGAACATGAATTCGATTCTTTGTCCATTACCCAGTCTCAGATATTTTGATAAATATTAGGCATGGACTGACACATAGATGTGACTAAAGCATGTTAAATTAAAATAGATATAATAGATACTTTAAAATAGGATTTTCTTTCTTTCTATTTAATAATATGGCAAATCTTTATAATAGATTCTTTTTGGCAAGCAGTAGGGTTTGAACTCAGGGCTCATGACACTCTATGTCTTCATTCCTAATAACAGAGTTTTAAAATTAAAATATCTTGATATTCTTAGAAATTTTTTTGTTTTGGTACATTATATTTTTAATACATTTTTATTGTAAAGATATTGCACAAAGGGGTTACAGTTACATGAGTAAGGTAATGAGTACATTTCTTATTGAGCATTGTTACCCCCTCCTTTGTTTTTCCCCTACCATCCCTACCCTACCCACCTCCCCAACGTCTCCCTCCTCCCCCAAGCTGTAAAGTTCATTTTCAATGTAGTGTCCGATACATCTCATTGTTACAATGGGTCAACCTGTGTCCTTATTTCAGCATTTTGTTATTTCCCTTCCCGAAATTAGAAAAATGTATATACTAGATGTAGGGCACCAGAATCAAATACAGTGAAAACAGGGGTTATACCCTGGGGGAAGAACATACAAAAGAAACAAAAAAATCACATAGTACATTATAAGTACATTAAAAACAACAGCAAAAAAGATAAACCTTTTGTGTCCCTATCTTGGTGTTCATTTCCCTTGGCCTCATCTTATAGGGTCATATGTACATAGTTTTGACCTTTTCTGCTTGACCTAGACAAATACTAGTTATTGCAAATAAAGGAAACCATGGGGCCTATGTTTCTTTGGTCCCATCTTTCCATTTCCTCAAACAGGATCCGGTTCGATCCGGTTCTAACCAGTTTGATCCGGTTCGATTCGGCTGGATCTGATTCGATCCGGATCCCAGTGGGATCTGGGGAGAACCCATGTCAGTGTGTTCAGACTCAGTTTGAGTCAGCTGAAATTCAGCACAACTGAGACAATTGGGAAGTGGTAAGCCTTGTAGTTTGCCTCCATCTCTCTCACAAACAGAACTTAACAACTTGGTTTATGTCTCCATCTTTTCTTCAATAGGCTAAGAGGTTCTAACCGGCTGGATCCAGTTCGATCTGGCTGAATCCGGCTAAAACCGGCTTGATCCGGTTCGAACGCCTAACCGGTTTGAACCGGTTCGAACCAGTTTGTTCTGGTTCTAACCGGTTTGATGTGGTTTGAACCAGTTCTGACCAGTTTGACCCGGCTCTAACCGGTTTCATCCGGTTCTAACTGCTTTGAATCTGTTTGATCCGGTTCAAACCGGTTGGATCCGTTTCTAACCGGTTAATCAACCAGAAATGGAGATGTGACAGAGTGCCAGCCTTGATCTACAGACAACAAGTGACAGGATATTCATACTCAAAGTGGCTAATATAGGAAATGACCTCACTTTTGGTAATTAAACCTTGTCTGTCTTCTCAGCCTATTGAGGAAAAGATGGATACACAAATTGTTAAATTCTGTTTGTGAGAGAGATTGAGGCAAACTACAAGGCTTACCACTTCCCATTTGTCTCAGTTGTGCTGAATTTCAGCTGACTCAAACTGAGTCTGAACACACTGACATGGATTCTCCCCAGATCCCACTGGAAGGGCCTGCACCATTTTCCACTCTATCATTGGCCTCTGCTCATGTTCCCTATCTAGGGGAAAATTCCTTAGGTTAATCTGAGAGAAATTAATATTACTGTTCCTTGAAACTTCAAGTTCGTTTTAGTTGTTCCTGAAGTATGTGTGGGAAAGTAGAACGTTGAGCTTTTCCACTTCCTAGCATTGTTTAGATGCCAAGCCTTCCTTCTGTATCTCACCTGTTAGGTTTCAATTTTGGAGTGATATCAATGGACACAAACCTCTGACTTGAGGGTGATCACTAGCCAGGATAAAATCCCATGTAGTGAAAACACTTTAGGCCTGAGCTACCTGGATGGTCAAGGGTAGGATTCTGTGCCAATCCGCAAATGGTCCTGCACATTCAGGGCCAGGTGCAAGCTGATGAGTTTTTACATTTTTATTATAAAATTGTCATCATTTATTCTTCTGCTTCACCATGGACATGGGAGGAACCTATTTGCTAAAGTTTGGATCTTGAATGTACTTGCTTTAAATGTTTGCTTGCTAGGCTGGATCACTATTTTGTGATGGTGAGGCCTTTAAATGTGAACATATACAGGGTCATATGCACAAATAGATAAACGTATTAACTAAAGCATGGTATATTCATGAAGTATTCCGCTGATGGAACTCTATAACAAAATGAATGCCAGGAAGCTGGAACTTGAGATGTCAGTGGAGAGAGCAAGGTTAAGGGGAGAGGGTTAGATGAATATAGAGAGGAAGGTTGGGAGAAAGATGGAAAAGTGTGTAGATGAAGGATAAAAATATAACAGAATTCTGTAAATGGAAATAATGTGTGATTCTATATTCCTAACTTCAAGTGGAGAGGTCTTAATTTCAGATGTGTTGCCACATTGTCACTATAAAACAAACATGTGCTAGAATTTCCACTATTTTATGGATCATATTGCTTCTCAGTCACAAAAGTGGTACATACAATTTTTATCAAGTCATTTAAGCTTTGAATTAGACATTATGATCACTGATACTGTATTAGAGCAATAGAAACTCATGAAGTGGCAAAGAGTGAAACTAAGAAGACC